CTGAAAACACAATAAAATATTATTTAAAAACAACAACAAAAAGAAACATGTACCTTATTTATTGATGCCTCCGTATGGATACCCCTAACATTGTTCTTCTCCCACAGTTGTTTCCTCTGGTTAAGCAACAGAAGCATCAGTAAGCCAGCCAGCTGAAGAAGAAAGATTATCGAAACCCAAAGCCACTGATGAGTCTTAGCACCTCAAAGAGACCAGGACCTCATGGTATTCTTGCCAGAAAACAAACAGAAAGTTGAACCTGGATCCAAACTAGCCTTTGATGCTGACTTTGGGTTTGTGGGAAATATTGGGATAGAGGAACAAGTTAAATGACACTATGAGGAAGCCAACAGATAAATCCTGAATCTAGGACATCATACAGAACAACCGATCCAATTTCTTAGACAAAGCAGTGCCCATGGGTGGGAGTAGAGCAGCAGATGTGCTCTTGATTAAAGGACCAAAGAGGAATAACAACCAAAAATGCACTCAGAGGGTGTTGTTTGAATACTGATTCAAACAAACCAACTGTACAAAGACATTTTTGAAACAGAAAATTATTGTTGATGTTTAGGTGTGGTAATGGATTGTGGTTACATAAAAAAAAAAACATTTTTTAGAAATACATATTAAATACATAGGGATAAAATTGCAAGAGAGCTGGGATTCGCTTTCACATACTTAAGCAACAACAAAAAGGGGATAGTTGAAGCTGGTGTGGCAATGTCTTAATCACCACAGAGCTGAGTGCCAGTGCACTGAGGCTCACACTGCTCTTTTTACTTGGGGTAGGTTTGAAAAGTTTCTAAAAATTAATCTTAAAAAATTGGTCTTTTCCAAAAGTTTACCAGTAGTTACCAGGAACTAGGGGGAGGGCTGATGGGAGTTAATAGCTGAAGGGATACTGGGTTTCTGTTTGTTGTTATTAGGTGCCGTTAAGTCGGTTCCAACTTATAGCCACCCCATGCACAACAGAACGAAATACTGCCCGGTCCTGCACCATCCCCATGATTGTTCTTATACTTGAACCCATTGTTGCAGCCACTGTGTCAGTCCATCTTGTTGAGGGTCTTCATCTTTTTCGCTGACCTTCTGCTTTACCAAGCATGATGTCCTTCTCTAGGAACTGGTCCCTCCTGAGAAAGCATCCAAAGTATGAAAGACAAAGTCTCATCATCCTCGCTTCTAGGGAGCCTTCTGGCTGTACTTCTTCCAAGACAGATTTGTTTGTTCTTCTGGCAGTCCATAGTATATTCAATATTCTTCGCCAACACCATAATTCAAAGGCATCAATTCTTCTTCGTCTTCCTTATTCATTGTCCAGCTTTCGCACGCATATGAAGCGATTGAAAACACCATGGCTTGGATCAGGCACATCTTAGTCCTTAAAGTGACATCTTTGCTTTTTCACAAAAGAGGTCTTTTGCAGCAGATTTGCTCAATGCAGTGCATTGTTTAATTTCTTGACTGCTGCTTCCATCGGTGTTGATTGTGGATCCAAGTAAAATGAAATCCTTGACAACTTCAGTCTTTTCTCCCTTTATCATGATGTTGCTTATTGATCCAGTTGTGAGGATTTTTTGTTTTCTTTATGTTGAGGTGGCATCCATACTGAAGGCTGTAGTCTTTGATCTTCATCGTAAGTGCTTCAAGCCCTCTTCAGTTTCAGCAAGCAAGATTGTGTCATCTGCATAACACAGGTTGTTAATGAGGCTTCCTCCAATCCCGATGCCCCGTTCTTCTTCATGTAGTCCACCTTCTCAGATTATTTGCTCAGCATACACATTGAGTAAGTATGGTGAAAGGATACAACCCTGACATGCACCTTTCCTGACTTTAATCCATGCAGTAACCCCTTGTTCTGATCAAACAACTACCTCTTGATCTATGTACAGGTTCCTCATCAGCACAATTAAGTGTTCTGGAATTCCCGTTCTTCGTAATGTTGTCCAGAATTTGTTATGATCCACACAGTTGAATGCCTTTGCATAGTCAATAAAATACATGTAAACATCTTTATGGTATTCTCTGCTTTCAGCCAGGATCCATCTGACATCAGCAATGATATCCCTGGTTCCACGTCTTCTTCTGAATCCAGCTTGAATTCCTGGCAGTTCCCTGTCGATGTACTGCTGCAAACGCTTTTGAATAATCTTCAGCAAAATTTTACTTGCACGTGATATTAATGATATTGTTCAATAATTTCCGCATTCAATTGGATCACCTTTCTTTGGAATAGGCATGAATATGGATCTCTTCCAGTTGGTTGGCCAGTTAGCTGTCTTCCAGATTTCTTGGCATAGATGTGCCAGCGCTTCCAGCACTGCATCTGTTTGTTGAAACCTCTGAATTGGTATTCAGTCAGTTCCTGGAGCCTTGTTTTTTGCCAATGCCTTCAGTGCAACTTGGACTTCTTCCTTCAGTACCATCAATTCTTGATCATATGCTACCTCCCGAAATGACTGAATGTCAACCAATTCTTTTTGGTACAGTGACTCTGGGTACTCCTTCCGTCTTGTTTTGATGCTTTCTATGTCATTCAGTATTTTGCCCCATAGAATCCTTCACTATTGTGACTTGAGGCTTGAATATTTTCTTCAGTTCTTTCAGCTTGAGAAACACCAAGCATGTTCTTCCCTTTGGTTTTCTAATCTCAGGTCATTATAATACTTTGTCTTCTCGAGCTGCCCTTTGAAATTGTCTGTTAGCTCTTTGGCTTTATCATTTCTTCCATTTGCTTTAGCTATTCTGCGTTCAAGAGCAAGTTTCAGAGTCTCTTCTGACGTCCATTTTGGTGTTTTCTTTCTTTCCTGTCTTTTTAATGACCTCTTGCTTTCTTCGTGTATGACGTCTTTGATGCCATTCTGCAACTCATCTGGTCTTCAGTCATTAGTGTTCAGTGCATCAGATCTGTTAGAGATGGTCTCCAAATTCGGTTGGGATATACTCAAGGTTGTAATTTGACCTCTGTGGGCTTGTTCTGATTTTCTCCAGCTTCACCTTGAACTTGCATAAGAGTGATTGATGGACTGTTCCGCAGTCAGCCCCTGGCCTTGTTCTGACTGATGGTATTGAGCTTTTCCATTGTCTCTTTCCAGAGATGTAGTAGATTTGATTCCTGTGTATTCCATCTGGCGAGGTTCTCGTGTGTATAGTCACCGTTTATGTTGTTGAAAAAAGGTATTTACAATGAATAGGTCGTTGGTTTCCAAAATTCTATCATACAATCTCCGGCATCGTTTCTATCACCAAGACCATGTTTTCCAACTACTGATCCTTCTTCTTTGTTTCCAACTTTTGCATGCAGTTACCAGTAATTATCAATGCATCCTGATTGCATGTTAGATCAATTTCAGACTGCAGAAGTTAGTAAAAATCTTCAATTTCTTCATGTTTGGCCTAGTGATTGTTGTGTAAATTTGAATAATAGTTATAAGTGTTTCTGTTTAGGGTGATGAAAAACATTTAGAAATGGATAGTGGTAGCACAACATAGTGAATGTAATTAATGCCACTAAATTGTACACTTAAAATGGTTAAAATGGCAAATGTTTTGTTATATTTATTTTACCGCAATAAAATTTTTTAAAAGGTAAATAGAGATGAAATTTAAAAAAATAAAAGATGAGATCTGAAAATAATAACATTACTGAATATTTTGACTAATGATTCTGTAGAAGAATCCTGATCAGAAGGGAGGAAACTTGATCTGAATTCCAAGTTCTCATGGACTCCAGACTTCTGGAGCCATGGAGACTGCATAAACCCCTGATACTATTGCCCTGAGATAGTCTTTACAAATTAAACCAAAAATATCCTGAAGTCTCTTAAAACCAAACAATAGTTTAGCTTAACTAGTAACAAATGTCTGCCTTGAGCATTATGCTCTTTTAAGAACTATCTATATGGGATCATACTGACAAAGTAACTCAAAAGTTTAGATAGAAATCTTAGGAGGCAGTGAATTTGTGTTAACCGAGGAGGATGAACTCAGAAAAGGAGAGTGAGAATGGTTGCACAATTCAAAGAATGTCACTGAATTGTACCTGTAGAAACTGTTGAATTGGTGTATATTTTGCTGTATATGTTCTTAACAACAACAAAATAAAATAAATCTTATTGAAAAATCTGACAGGAAGCCTAAATCCTCGCATTAGGATTCAACCTTTTTGGTGTGTAATTAGAGAAACTGAGGCCGAGGGAGGTGAAGTGTCTTACTGAAGGTACCCCAGTCATGTGGTATATCCAGAACCAGAGGTGTATGCCCTGCCCCAGGAGCCTGTTGGCCCAGGTTGGGCCTTCGCTGCCTTTCTTTACTGCCTCAGTCATGCCCTGTGCAGTGCTGGGCTGTTTGTCAAGGAATCATAACTTACTGCAGTGTGAGCTTTGAGAAATCAAGAGAGAAGTACGTCTTCCTCTAGCCCAGCACATGGGGCCTTTCCCAGCCTCTCTGTGGGTTATCTGATCTCTCAGACCCCACCCAGTCTGCTGCGGAGTATAGTTACATCCCTGTCCCCACAACCCTGCCTGTGGAGACTCCCTTGTGGACGGGCAGACTTGGTTCATGACATCAAAGCATCAAGCAGGACATACCCAGTAAATGCTAGCTCATCATGCAGTAATCCATCTGGGTTCAAAACTGAAAAAAAAAACAAAAAACTTTTTTTTCATTATGACTACAAACAATACAGCCCTCTTTTATGTACTTTTCAGTGGTCTAGTAGTTTCTTTGTTCGTGTGTTATCTTCAGAAAACACTTTCCCCGGGGAGTCCTCCCCCTACCCAACATTTTATTATGAAAATGAGGGAAGTTGAAAGAATTTTTCAGTGAACCCTTTGAGTTTTCAAAGCTCATGTTACAGTAAGTTACAAGTCCTTCCACCATTGTCCTATTGCATATTTGTCCATCTCTCTGTCCAGTTTGGGTGCCTCACTGGCATTTATACATGTCCCCCCGTGCTTCAGCCTGGCACCGTGCTTAACTCTACTCCCTTGTTTCAGGCCAACTGCGAGCCTGGAGTCCCAAGGTTCCGGGGAGTCCTCGGGAGTTCTGCAGCCCCTCCTGTGACACACCTGAGAGCCAGGCCCGGGTCATCTGGGAAGAGCTTGGTGTCGGCAGCAGTGGCTACCTCAACGCGCAAGAGCTGGCACTAGTCTGCCAGAGCATCGGGCTGCGACGGCTTGAGAAAGAGGTGAGAGAGAGCCTGGGACGGATCTTCCCCAACCACTATTCTCTGGAACAGTCAGGATTTGATGTTGGGTCTGAGAAGTCTTTTCACCCTTCAGACATTGATTCAGCCATATCACTTGCACGCTTAAAACCCTTGGGTGGCTCCAACCCTTCTGCCAAAGACCAAACCTCAGGCTCTGTTGTGATAATCTCTCACCACACAGGCTCCACCAAGCCCCTCCTGCCCTCAGGTGTTCCAGGCAACCTTAGACACCTTCGCTCACGATCACTTCTCTACCTGGAATACCTTTCCCTGTCTGCCTGGCTGAATTGTACCACCAGCCAAATATGGCGTCTTCTGAGCTTGCTTACACTCCCCGCCAGAGGGGAGCAGAGACAGGAGTGGCTGGTGTCATGGGGCAGTCCTCACTCTCACTAACCTGTGACCTGTTGGAGCCAGGCTGGGCTGTGGGTATGCATCTTCCTGCCAGCATCCTGTGAGTTCCCGGCCCCAGTAGACAAGTAATAAGCATTCGTGGAGTTCAGGAAGTTCGGATGGCTCAGCTACTCACAGTGGGATGGAAACACACAGGGCAGTGCTGATTTCCCATGAGAGAGGGCAGACATTTGGGAAACACAGCCAGGTGTGACCTAGACAGTTTTGAGTTTGGGTGAAGACCAACAAACGGCCCTTGTTGGGTGCTTAACCCAGAGGGATGAGGGCGCGGGAGGCCCGACTGTGGTGGCTCACGCAAGCTGCCTGTTTGTGGAGCTTCTGAGTCAAGCAAAGCATCTGTCCTGATCCAGGTGTGTGGCTTTTGTGTAGGAACTGGAGGACCTGTTTAACAAACTGGATCAAGATGGAGATGGCCAAGTGAGTCTTGAGGAATTCCAACTTGGCCTGTTCAGTCATGGACCCACATCACTTCCAGAATCTCCCACTCCCATCCATCCGAGCAGGCCTTGGTCTCATTACCAGGTAAAATGTGACAATGAAATCTTGGACCACAGCAGTAACTGTTGTCATTCTGGTGACTGCAGCTGGTAACCTTCAACATCTTTCACAAGCCTTAGCCCTTTCTGTCACCTGAGCGAGTTGTCCAGGACTTAGACAGGGGTGTATACACACGTGTGTAACTGAGATGCATGTGATTGAGGTTCTGGAATCACACAGCCCTCCCTAGCTGCGTGTCACTGTGTGAATTGCTCGCCATCTCTGAGCCTCAGGCTCCTCATCTGTAAAATGGGGCAGTTGGGATGCCGACCTCACAGGTGTTGTACGAGGATCACATAGTACAAGGTAGTGTCTGGAGCATGACAGCTCAGCACGTGTTCTCAATTGTGGGATACAGAATGTTCCAGTAAGAGAAGTCCCCCTCTTTCCGTGTTGTAATGCAGCAGGAGATCAGCGTCACAGAGGACCCTGTGGCATCTCCCTAAGGCAGTCCTTCAGGCCTCTGTTTCTTAGTCTTGTTCTCTCCATCCTGTATGCCTGAGTTTTATGTCTTGCAGAAGTGCCAGGTCTCTGTGCAGTTTGAGGAGAGCAGATTTTAGGCAGTTTTCTAAGTTATGACTTTGTTCAGTGACTGCTGGTTTAGCATGTGGTTTCTCTCACTGCCCAAACAGAACAGCTCCCCTCCCACCATAGAGCAGCTGCTCTAAGGAATTCTTGCCTTCCTCATGGGGATGTGGCTGGCTCCCTGCTTTGTGGGAGGTGGTGTGGGACCAGAGTGTTGTTCTCCACCAGGCAGCAGGTACCTCTGAGAATCTAAGTTTCTGAATCTGAAGTCAGCAAGAACGGAGGAAAGTGTCAGGCCATATAAGGTCTGATGGATAACGTCAGAAAGTTCAAAATATGGGCTCACTGTGGCACTGCTGAAGCAGCCACATGGTCCCTTTTCATCGATTCGAGGAGTAGGCCAGAGGGACACTGAGCCACTGCGGGTGGACATGGCTGGCAGTGCTGCCCAAGATCAGGAAAGCAGCTGGAGCTGTGCTGCTCCTTGTGCCCTGGAGACCTCCCTGGATGGATGCCCTCTGAGGCCAGAGGCGAGTCTGCAGAGAGGAGCCCAGGAAGGGCAGTTCAGGCAGCGAGGCATGACTTCCTCAAGGTGCCCATGTCAGGAAGTTTGTGTGCAGTTCTGGGCTCAGCCTCGTGGACCAAGACTTGGGGTGGAGATAGATTTCTCCTCTTTGTGGACCAAGGTGAGATGACAGGGAGTCATGCGTTGGGGCCGAGAGCTAGGGCAGATGCAGAAACATGGGCAGACCACATCCAGCGCTGTGGTTGAGATGGCCTTGCAGTGTGCCTTGGCCAGGTGGGGGCAGAGGCATTGCCGACGGCTGCTATGGAGTAGAGTCCCCAAAGTGGGCTGTGCATCATGTCCCAAGGGGTCAGCGGCTCCTCCAGGTACTGGCTCTGAGGGGGGAGGATTGTGATCCAGTGCTATCTCCCAGCAGAGGGCCTCGAACCCCAGCGGTCTCACCCCTGAGCTTGGAAGGGGAGGCAACAGGAACCCGCAGAGTCCTGCAACCTCAGATGCCTCTGAAGTGCAGGTCCTCCCAGCATAGTGGCTTGACTCATCATCCTGCTATCACAGCCAGCTGCTCTTCCCGTCACACTCACGTCCACACACACAGCACACACACAGACCTGTATGCACACACCCACTGCATGCACCACCTAGATGGTATGCACACCCCCTACACACACTGTGTACACACACACACTGACTATAGACGCACACTGCATACACAAACTATAGACTCACACACCTGCACACATCCCCCACTGTATACACACACCTACTTTGTATGCACACCAACCACACACACACAATATATATACACACTCACACTATAGACATACTGCTCACCACACCTGTACACACACTTTCACAATGCACACACACCTACTATATGGTATACACACTCACATCGTACACACACAGTCACACCCACTACGCACACCCTAAACACACTGTATACACCCCCACTATACATGCACACTTTATATACATTCACACACAGACATACGTATATACATTCTGTATGCACTTATACGTGCTAACGCAACTGTATATACAATGTATACACACACATACACTCTGTATACACACACACACTAAACCCACTGTATGCACACAGTAGACACACACACATACATTCTGTATACACACATACATGCTAAACCCACTGTATACACATACACACTGTATACACACACATTCTGTATATACACACATGCTAAAACCACTGTATACATGCATGCTATATATACACACAATGTATACACACACGTACACTCTGTATACACACACATTAAACCTGCTGTATCTACACAGTATACACACACACATACTCTATACACACATACACTCTATACACACACACTATACATAGTATACACACGCTATGCATGCACATATACACCCACACACTAAACCCACTGTATACACACATAGTATACGCACACACATACCCTATATACACACACACAGTATATCCACACACACACTCTGTATACACACACACAGTATATCCACACACACACTCTGTATACACACACACAGTATATGCACACACATATACTCTGTATACACACACAATATACACACAGTACATACACACAGTACACATAGTATATGCACACACATACCCTATATACACACATAGTATATACACACACTCACTCTGTATACACACACACAGTATATCCACACACATATACTCTGTATACACACACACAGTATATGCACACATATGTACTCTGTATACACACACAATATACACACAGTACATACACACAATACACATAGTATATGCACACACATACACTGTACACACACACAATATACACACAGTATATACACAAATTACACACACAGTATATGCACACACATACATTCTGTATACACACAAACTGCACACACATGCACACTGTATACACACACTGTACACACAGTATACATGCACATACACTATATACAGCACTCTGTATATACACTAAACCCACTGTATACACACACAGTCACTGTATACACACACAGTATGTAAACACATACTGTCTGTATACACACACCCAATATACACACAGTATATACACATACACAATACACACAGTATATGCACACACATACACTGTATACACACACACACTGTATATGCACACACTGTACAGTGTATACACACACACACAGAATACACGTATAAAGCCAGGCTGGGGAGCGGACAGGTTCTGACTTGAGTCTGTGGAGCACAAGGTCCTGCCCTTCTCCTGACACGAGTCGTCTGGGAACCACCCATCTGCATGGCCACTTTGGGGCAGAAGCTGGAGGGATGCCAGGGTGGCGGAGTATCCTGCATTGCTGTGAGATGGGGGATGCCGTGTACTGTGTACGCGTCTCCACAGTTTGGCTCAAGGGCAGGAGACTGGACCCTGCCACATAGCATAGCTGTTTAGCATGCAGGATGCATGGACATAAGCCCCAGATGGAGATGACACCAGAAGGAGGTGGACCTGGTGATGGAGGAACCCCTTATGACCCAGCATGACAGCCCCTTCTCAGCCTCACAGACCTCAGAGGAAGCGGATAGGGGAACCATAAGAGTTCCAGGTGCGTGTGAATATCTGAGCTTCTCTGTGGGTGGCCATGGGTAAGTCCTGAGTGTTCTTGAGCTGCCCTCTTCCTGCCTGTATCTGCTTTGTAAGCTTGTACAGTCAGCACAGAAAGCACCCAGAACAGCGTAGTCCACTCTCAGTAAACACTCATTCCTTCAGCAGAGTGGTGGTGACTCTGCTAAAGACGGGCCACATGTGGTCCCTGCCCCTGGGGTGAAGCCTGACTTCAGGAAGTGCAATGCTGGGAGGAGACGAGGGGCGATAGGTGGAGATGGTGCCTGGGAGTCACTGGAGGAGAAACCAGAGTGAGTCAGGGATGAGCCAGTAGGGTCAAGGGGAGCATGTTTCAGGCTGTGGGGAGGGACTTGCAGTGTTTGAGGAATAGCAAGGAATCCCCAGAACTGGAGCCTAGCGAGCAAGCGGTACGAGAGGAAGCGAGCTCAGGGTTGTTGAGCCAGGCAGTGAGGGTCCTGGATCCAGAGCCCAGCTAGTGAGAGGGAAGGGAGAGGACAAGAGGGCTGAGCGGGCTGTGACACGGTAGATCTTGCGTGAGTGTGGTGGGAGCCTTGGAGGTTTGGAGCAGAGGTCGCATGGCCTGAAGGGAGGGAGAACACTCATCCTTACTCTCTGAGATTCCAGATAGCACATATTTATTGTGAAGGACTCTGGGGCAGAAAAAAGTTAAGGGAAATCTTTCTTGCCCTTGTGGATTCATATAGCACCTGAGCCTAGCAGGTCAGCTTTCCTGTTGAGAGTACTTTTATCTTCATCTTAAAACTCCCCTAGGCTGCTTAGCTGAGAGCTGCCTGCTTCCGCATTCTCAGCAGTGGGCAATTTCACGGGCAGAGATGTCTGGGGCATCCCAGTCTGCTTTTGAAACCCCTCATGGGTTTCCCGACAATGGCAGGCACCTTCTCAGGCTCTGCCCCAGTGAGGCCCTGCATACCCCGTTCCTAATTCAGGGGAAAGATGTGCGCACTGCTTGGCGCACTCTGACTAGCCAGGGTGGAGACAGAGCCCTCTGTGAGGCCTGTGTGGTGGTGCCGCCTTCCGGTCCCAGAGCAGCCCCGGCTCTGCGCTCACGGAACTGTGTGTGCTTTGATGGATCATGTCACTGTGCCCAGCCCTTTCATCTTGTCCAGGAAGTGGAGATAGTGACAACCCTGTGACATTGTCCTTGGTTAGGCCTTTGTGGGCAGCAGGTGCCAAGTGCAGGCTTGTACGGTGGGAGATGTGAGAAATAAGCAGATGTGCCCAGGTTTTCTGCAGATGCACAAGCTCACGAGCGCCTTCTCGGTCCTCGGCGTGTAGGCCATGGAGGAGAGCGGTTGCCGGACCACCACAACCTCGTCCCTCGTGTCCATCTGCTCAGGCCTGCGCCTCTTCTCCAGCATCGACGATGGCACTGGGTTTGCATCTCCCGAGCAGGTCGTCACTGTGTGGGCCCAGGAGGGGATTCAGAACGGCAAGGAGATCTTGCAGGTTTGGAGATGGACGTCCACAGATGCCCCAGTGGATGGGCTGGCAGAGGGTGGGGTCCTGGAGGGTCTCTGTGCTTGGCCTCTGCTCTCTGGCTACTTCCTCCTGCCACAGCAGAGAATCCCACAGTGGGAAGTTAGTGGGAAACTTTTTTTTTCTATTAAAATATAGGAAATTTTAATTTTAAAAGATTATCCATAAAATACGGAGAAAACTACAGTCTGAAGAAAACACATTTGAAGGTAGGTTTCCGTGTCTTAGATCTTTCCCCCAGTGCCGTGTCAACCTGGGAGACTGTTCACTAGGACGAGGGCAGTCACTACCACAGGTGTGTGAGCAGAAACACCCTCTGTGGCATCACAGTCAGGGAAATATGCATTTCCATTCAGTTAGTGACCACTACACAGTGAGCTTGAATTCCACCAAGAGCCCCCTGCCCAACAAGACCTATGGGCTGGTGGAACTGTGCCCTCGGCCCCCACTAGCCCTTTCCGCTGGCTGCCATGGGGCTTCCTTCCCACATTCCTGCACTGTTTCCAGGAGCCAGCCCAGGAGGCTGTCCTCAGACAGCTCTAGGAGCACATCCTCAGATAGGCCAGGTCTCTTTATGGGGTCTTGTTTCTCTCAGGGACCCAGGGCAAGTCCCTTAGGACTTGGGAGGAGTACTGCTGTGGGGCGGCAGTCAGGTGTGAGCAGTGCCAGGCCCACAGAGATGGGCACACTGAGGGGAGTTGTGGAGAGCTCCAGTGGCTAGGCCCCAGCAACAGGCCAGTACTCACTCACTGGGGCCAGGATGGGAGCTAAGTCCTTCCCTTAAAAGATATTTATTATTTTCATTTCCAAATTTCACTTCCCATCATAAAACACTGTACAGAAATATAGAGAATGAAAGAGAAAGCCTCTCCCCTTCAGCCCTGCCCTGGTCCCCAGGCCACCCTGCAGAGTGCTCTCCTTGCACATAGAATAAATGTGTATTTATACATACTTTTTTTTTGCAAAATTGCTCATACTGTATATCATGTTAATTTATGTGACATTTCCGTATTGCCTGACATACATGCATACATACATTTTTCCTATTATAGATCCTCATACTGTTATGTTGGTGTTTCTGTAGGATAGATCCCTGGAAGTGACATGTATTTTAACTATATGAGTTCTATCAAATTGCCTCCCAAAATGTCCCTATTAGTACAAACATCAGTACACAAAAGAGCCCAAAGTCAGCCTTTAAACCAGCGTGGCTGATCCTTGGACGGAGACCCCCCTGGGCCTAATCTCACATCTCAGGATCCCTGATGGCCAGTAGCTGGGCAGGGCCTGGACCCCAGAGCCAGCCCTGACAGCTGTCTCAGGTTTGTCCTGAAAGCACCTCTGAAAACTGCACCCAGTGGGGAAATTGCAAAAAGGAAAAGCATCCTCACTTGGAGGTCCTCTCTGAAAGCCTGCTCCCGACTCCTAGGCGTTTAGAGGTGCACTGGGTGCCTTAATAGTCTTATCAGTGATGAGTCTCATCCTTGTCCTTCACATTGCAGGATTTACTTTTTTATTGCTTTTCTAATAGAGTATTTTCATTTGTATAGAAATTTATAATTTACTAGTTGCTTTCAGGTTTTGATTTTAACAAGTTTTTCATTTTCATTTTATTGAAAATGAAGCACTATTTACTGAACTCCCCTCACGCACCTCAGTCCTATACAAGAAGCTTTCAGTGTGTGACTTCACTTCTGTTTTAGTCATCTAGTGCTGCTGTTTAACAGAAGTACCCTAAGTGGATGGCTTTAACAAAGAGAAATTTATTTCTTCACAGTAAAGTAGGCTAAAAATCCAAATTCAGGGCATCAGCTCCAGGGGAAGGCTTTCTCTCTCTGTTGGCCTTCTCATCAATGTTCCCCCAGACTAGGAGCTTCTCTGTGTAGGGACCCCACGTTGAAAGGACACGCTGTGCTCCTGGCACTGTTTTCTTGGTGGTGTGAAGTCCCCCTGTCTCGCTGCTCACTTATCTCTTTTATATCTCAAGAGATTGCCTCAGGACACAATCCAATCTTATAGATTGAGTCCTGCCTTACTAACACAACTGCCACCCATCCTCCCTCATTTACATCCTAGATGCAGAATTTACAACATATAGGAAAATCACACAATACCAGGAATCATGGCCAAATTGATACCCACATTTTTGGAGGGACATAATTCAATCCGTGACAACTTCATTCTCACGACAGCCCTGCAGGGTGTTACTGCTCTCACCTCACTCAGCCGGGGAGGATGAGCAAGTAACCAGTGAATCAGGCAGGGCCTTTTCTGTGTACACTATTGATAATTGCTTACCTGCAGCACTGCCCATCAAGACCAAGGCCACTGGCCTCTCCGAGAGCAGGGAGCACTCATGCCTGAAGAGGGCCTCTCCCTGGGAAGGAAGCACCCAGCAAGGACAGCCTGTGGCTTGTGCTTGTTCTGGTATCACATACCCAGCTTCTCATGATCTGTGCCCAAGATAGTGGCCGGGATGGCACTGCTCATTCTGGAGCTGCTCTGAGGAGACCCCGTGCTGGATATCTGCCAGTCCTCAGCAGATGGTTGCACAATGGACATCCACTGTCTCATACACTTTCTGTGGCCAGGAATTAGGAAAGGTTGAGCTGGCTGGTTCTAGTGTGGAGTCTCTCAGTAGCTTTCAGTCAGATGTTAGCCCGTGCTGTTGTCATCTGAAGGCCCAACTGGGGCCACGGATCAGCTTCCAAGATGGTTCCTTCATGTGGCAGGCAAGGTGATTCTCTAGGGGGCTGCTTGAGTATCCTCACAGCATGGTGACTATCTCTTAGAGTTAGACAGAAGCTGCATGTCTTTTATGACCTAGTCTGGAAGTCTCAATCCGTTATTTCCTCAGTATTTTATTGGTCACATAGGTCAGCACTCTTCGTTGTGGGATGGGAGTACGCGGGGCGTGAACACCAGCAGGCAAGGCCCACTGGGGCCATCTTGGTGGCTTGCCACCACACACCACATGGTTGTTTTGGGTGACTCTTTTCTTGATCAGAAGTTGTTGCTGTGACTTGTTTGTGTTATGTCTTTTCAGCCTGTCAAGTGGTATTATTGCTGGGAAGTTTGCATTTGTGTAATAACAGCTTGAGCTTCCCAGACTGCTCCAAGTACATCACCCTTAATGTCATTTCTTTTCAGAAGCAGCTTGGGAAGTGGGGAAGCAGCAGAAAATTCATGTCCTCATTCTGTAGATTAAAAAAGAGGTATACATGGTTCTGACATGTGATCTGGGGATGTTGGGACACATTCTCTTGTAGACTCTAATGTGTCTCCTGCCTCTGGACTTAACGTAACTGTTCATAGTGGGAAACGGTGGTCAAGAATACTCTAAAAAGGCAAATGTGGCAGAATAGTAATTACTGGTCATTTAAGCTGAAGGACATATGGGCGTTCGTTGTTCTGTTCTTTGTATGTGTGTGGTAATATGCACATAACATATTGTTCTTTTTTTATTTTATTTTTTAAGCTTATTTTTCAAAATTCTGAGGGAGAAAAAAGATTTTGCTCTCTGGAATACTTTCGGCCATTGCTCATCTCCGTCTCTAATATATAATTTTTTTCACCATCAAAATCATAGATCTGTACATACATTTCATAGAGATATGAAATATGTGTCAGAATTTCTTACATATATCACATGTCAGAAATTTCAGGATTTGTTTAGTTTGAAATGGCAAAAACCCAACTCAGAATGGCTTAAGCAAAAAGGAGAGTGTTAGTGACCCACCTTGGTGGGCAGTTAGGGGAGCTGACTTAGGCATCGCTAGCTCCAAGTCCCTGTCAGGACCCTCTCTTCCAAATCTCCTCTGGTTGCTTCTCTGGTGGCCTTAGCCTTGGTAAAGTCTCCTCCCTGGAGCTTCTCAAGGCTCACATAGTCCTTATAACCATTGATTTCAGAGGGGGAAAAAGGACCTCTCTCTCTCTCTGTCTCTCTCTGTTAATCCCCATGAAGTAGTCTGCATGGGACATGCCCCTCCTAATATGTCCCCAGGGCAGGCACAGTGGGACCCCTCCCCCACTGACAGCCCCATCAGAGTTCCTGGGAGTTGGAGTGGGGAGGGGCCCCTCCCAAGAGGAAGAGACGTGGGCAGGCTAGAAAGCTGCAGGTGCCCCGCAATAAGAAAGCGGATTAGAGTACGGAGGCTGTCCCTTTTGGGGCCAGGATGTGTCTGTTTAGAGAAGTAAACTCATCCTACATGCCCCTTGGGGCTTATTATTTCTAGAACCTCGACTTCAGTGTGGACGAGAAGGTGAACCTTCTGGAGCTATCCTGGGCTTTTGACAACGAGCTCATGATGGTCACTGGTGTCATTCAGCAAGCTGCCCTGGCCTCCTACCGTCAGGAGCTGAGCTACCTCCAGTAAGAGGCCTTGAGGGCTTGCGGTGGGTGCTGGGTGGCACACTGGCCAGGCTGGCCTCAGGGGAGTCCAGGACTGACAGGACCTGGGCTGCCTCCTTGCCTGCCCTCATCACCCTCAAATGGCCAGTCCTGGCTACCCTCAAGTAGCCAGCATTTGCAGTGGGGCAAGGAAACGGGTCCCTGGTGTAGCAAGAGGGACATTGGCCTGGTCTGAACAGGGCCTAAGGAGTGAGTGGCCTGTCCAGGCTGCCTTCTTGGGTTTTCATTGCCACCGAATTTTGGGTCACCCAGTCTTCCTGCACATTTGGTGGAAGCTTAGAAAGCACTGTCTCAAGGTCCTTACCTAATCCCTTTAGCGAGGTTCCAGATGGCAGGACCCAAACTTGAAACTGAAGCTGTGCTTGCTAGCGCAGAGGTGGAAACCCTCTGTGGCTGGAAAGTGTCCTCGAGACCAGCCAGCAGGGCCCCCAGGCTTGAGCCAGCTAGCTGAAGGCACAAAGAAATGCTTCTCAGACCTTGTCACTGAGGGTAAGGTAGCAGGCAGGCCAGGAATCCCATGTTCCATTTCAGCAGAGCTCTGCTTTGACTCAGGAGGTTGTTCATACTGTCCACTTGCTAAGCAGATTCAGGGGGAGAAAAGTTGATGACGTTTACTGAAAGATAACTTTTTGAAAAGTCATTTTCTGTGTCCATCTCAATGACAGATGTCCATGGGTTTATATTATTATTAATAGCAATACTAATAATGGCAACTGTTCATTGAGCACTTGCCTTGCTCAGGCAGCGTGCCTCTTTTGTCTTCATTAATTCTGACAAACCCTTAAGTAGGTTCTATTATTAATGTCTCTTTATAGACAAGGAAACAGAGGCTTAGAGAGACTGAGTAACTTGACCAAAGCACCCTTTTGATCACTCTGTTGTATTGGACTAAACTCTGATGTCAATTAGGACAAAATTAATACGCAGCTAAAGAAGTAAGACTCTTTAGAATCTCAGCCAATGCAACATGTTGTCACTGATCCTTCAGAGCACTTCCCTGAGTGTGACCTTGTTGAGAACACTGTCTTAGGTGCTGAATTATTCAGAAGAAGCAGAAGTAATGACATTGATCCTAAAGACTCTGCAGTCTTCTTAGGTACTGGCAGATGATCTTCTGACCTCAGGTAGCTCTGCAAATAGAACGAGAGAATGATTGTGCCCAAGTTTCTGCCTTCCTTGGGAGGGTGAAAGGGAGAAAAGCTCCTCGGTGCCCCAAGACGATTTGCTCAGAATCTTGGCCATGGCCTGGGGTGGCCATGCACATGAATCGCCTTTCGAACTAGGTGACTCATCTGCACTCATTTGGATGCCAGGCTGCTGTTTGGCAAGGCTGTGATCGGGCAGGGTAGGCAGCCTCCTCCTCCCTTCATGCATTCAGTTCCAGACTAGGTGCTGGGGATATAAGGAGACTGCTGCATAGCTAGAGTCAAGAGGGTGCACGAGTAAATGCTCACGTGTTCTGGGCTGTGTGGAGGTATGGCACACTGCCAGGGCTCTAGGGTCAGACTTAGTGGATTCAGAAACTCTCTAGAAACTTTTCTTGGCAAGTCATTTAACTTCTCTCTCAGCATACACATCTGTAAAATGGACACAATTATAGAACCTGCCTTAGAAGGTTGTTGGAGGTCACATGAGAATCTGAGACAATGTTTGCCCACACTCAGCACCATTTGTGTTGACCATTTTTATCATATATGCAGACCCAGAGCTCATGAGGCCTGGAACAGGGTGTGTGCTTTTGTGGTGGGCCACGCTGATGGTGGTATCTGCATTTGACAATGTCTCCTTCCTGTGAGCAGAGGGCAAATGGAGCAGATGGTGAAGGAGCAAGACAAGGCGAGGCAGGACCTGGAGAAGGCTGAGAAGAGGAACCTGGAGTTTGTGACAGAGATGGACGACTACCACTCAGCCATGGAACAGCTCACTGAGCGGAAGATCAAGTAGGTGCCACTGGCATGCAGCTCCTGGGGCCAGAACCTGATGTGGCAGAGCCACAGCAACTGTCCCCCGCCTGGTGCCTCCAGCTCTCACCAGAGGTCAGGTGAAGGACACATGACTACCCAAGTGGCAGGGTTGTAGTTCATGACCACGTTCTGGTTAGTTGAGACCCCCAACCCCCTGTTTTACCTGAGTCAATAGAACTAGAAAATGCATCTTTAGGTTTTGTATTAGTCAATGGCCTCAGAGAAACAGAACCAGTAAGATATATATATGGATGGATGGATGGAGGGATGGAGGGAGAGAGCGATGGATGGAGGGAGCGATGGATGGATGGAGCGATGGAGCGATGGATGGAGTGATGGATGGATGGAGGGATGGAGCAATGGATGGAGCGATGGAGCGATGGATGGATGGATGGATGGTTGGAGCAATGGATGGAGCAATTCATGGATGGATGGATGAAGTGATTCATGGATGGATGGATGGAGTGATTCATGGATGGATGGATCAATGGAGCGATTCATGGATGGATGGGTGGAGCGATTCATGGATGGATGGGTGGAGCGATTCATGGATGGATGGGTGGAGCGATTCATGGATGGATGGGTGGAGCGATTCATGGATAGATGGAGTGGTTCATGGATGGATGGAGTGATTCATAGATGGATGGACTGATTCATGGATGGATAGATGGATGGATGGAGCAATTCATGGATGGATGGATGGAGTGATTCATGGATGGATGGAGTGATTCATGGATGGATGGATGGAGCAATTCATGGATGGATGGATGGAGAAATTCATTTATTTTAAAGAATTGGCTCATATAATTGTGAGGCCTGGCAAGTCCAAAATCCATAGGTCAGGCAGCCAGCTGCAGATTCCTGTAGGATGTTTACAGTCTTAAAGCAGAATCCTTCTCCCTCCAGAAACTTCACCTTCTGCTTTTAGGACCTTCAGCTTATTGATATGGAGGATGATCTGCTTTACTTAAGACTGGCTGATTTAAATGCTAATCACATGTAAATGCCTTGATAGCAATACCATAACCAGTGTGTGACCAGACAGCTGGGCACCACGGCCTAGCCAAGTGGACACATGAAATTAGCCATCACAGGACTGTTCTTCCTTCAGAGAAGAGGGTGCTGTAGAAGTGTCGAGTCTACTCTGTAAGTGGGGCTGTCACAGTATGCACTGGCTTCTCACTCTCTGCCCGCCCCTGCTGTCTTCATCCATTGGGCCTCCCCTGCTCAGGCTGAGACCTTTCACCACCGAGGTGTATGCTTGTGATTAGTGAGGTGGGTGGGTGTTTTGCAAGATGTTTTAGCAGACAGTTTCAGGAGCTCAGCAGGGAGGCTCCCGGCACAGCAGAAGGCGCCCAAAGACTGCAGCCTGACCTCTCATCGCCCTTCACACTGAGCAGTCCTGGGGCGGGCTCTGCATGGTGTATGTGGTTTCTGACAGGCCAGAGGAAAGGACATAAGAAAACCCAGCCATATAGATGTCCCCGCTGCAGCAGGGAGTGGGGCTTCTTCACCCTCACCATGGGGAACAGTCTGCCGAAAGCCCCTGGCCACACTCAGCTGGTGGCTCACCTTCCTGAACCCTTTGCTCACTCAAGGTGCTCTCCTGGGTACACCTGAGGCTGTAAGAAATGGTCTCCTACATTGCCAGCTCTCTTCAGCAGTGCCCACGGCCTGGCGTGTCCTCCCTCACTGGTGGGAGGGAGGTCTGTAGGGCATGTCCATTTAGAATCCTGCCATGTTGCCCCTTGCCCCTTGGGTGAGCTGAGCCCTCTGGGCTCCTCATCTCTAACATGAGAATGATGATGGGCTGTCTCTGGCATGGAGGGTTAAGCAGGACAGAATGTTGAGGCCCCCAGTTCTGATGACTGTACACCAACCCAGCCATGTGCCTCAAAAAACATGGAGAGGGAGGGAGAAGTAACAGCCTAAATGATGCAGGGCCTTCATTCGTGCCTGCTTGGTGAGAGGGCTGGTTCTATGTAGGGCCCCCTCCCCTCGGACGGACCAGCCACTTAGGACAGTGTCCACTGTGCAACCCCTGCCCTCAGAGCACTCACAGCTAGTTGAGGGAAGATGACCACCTTCTATCAAACAGGAGATCATGGAGTCCAGAGCTGTGTGGCCCAGATGCCAGGGGCCATGCAAGCTCCGAGAAGGCAGAGTCATGTGCGACACTGGGGAGGTGGCCCAGGGAAGCGTCCCGGAGGCACCCGCAGACTCGCCTGTGTGTGTATTGCAGGCACCTGGAGCAGGGGTACCACGGACGACTGGCCCTGCTTCGCTCAGAGATGGAGATGGAGCGAGAGCTGCTCTGGCAGCAGACCAGCAGGCAGAGGACTAGGCTGGAGGAGGACCTCGCGGCCCTGCGCAGGGAGGAGTCCTGCCTGCGGGAGGAGCTGGCGCTGGCTCTAAAGGTAGCAAGGTGCTGCCCAAGGGAAATGCGAGTGCAGGAAGCTGGGGAGGCCGTGGGACTTGGCCCTCCTCTCATACCCATGTGCCCTGACCACGGCCACAGCCAGACCCACACCTCCAGGCCCTTAGGGAGGGAAATGCCTGCAATTTTCAAACTAAGGGAGATTTGCCGTGTCGTGTTGCTCAGCCAATGAAGAAAGAGCCATTCCCCCATACCTGCAGCCAGACAGGTGAGAAGGCATAGGATGGTTACTTACATGGTTCAGGCAAGCGCCTGCGGTTAATGCCTGTGGCCTAAGGCAGGTGGCTGGAGGGGGGTGGGCCCAGGTTTAGGGGGCAGCACCACTTCTTCCTGTTCCCAGAATTCAAGGAGGGTGTAGGGCAGCCAGCACGGTGCAGAGCTTTCACAGCTCTCACCCTCTGCTCTGAGCTGGTGGATGGGAAGGTCTGCAGCAGCAGTTGTCACCCCTGCACCCCCAGAGACCAGGACCGCAAAAAAGACCAGAACCTAAAGCCCACCCTGCAGGAGCCCCAGTGCATGTCCTGCAGCTGTGGGGATCTGTGAGCTTGTGTGAGTGTCACATGACCCATACTGCACCCTGCATCTGGCCCCAGTTGGCCTGTCCCTCAGGAGAGACAGGTGGGCCAAGATTCCCTGCCCCAGCTGTGAGGCCTCTGGGGAGAGGATGAGCTGTCAGGTGAGGGGCAGGCTGAGTTGAGCTGGATATCCCAGGCAGCCTCTGTTCCCAGCCCCTCCTACACTTCTGTGTGTCATCCTTCTCGTTTTCCATCCCCGCCCCAGCTGTGGTTTCTCTCTCTGGTTTCTGTCTGTCTTCCCTCCCTCCCGTGAACTCTGCCTTTCTCACTCCAGGAGAACTTCCGAGCCGCAGAGCACTCAGCAGAGCCTTGGGTCTTGGTTGAGCACTACGTCCCAGAAGCAATTCCATGTCCTCCTGCCTCTTCTCCCTGCAGCTTCCTGGTGTCCACAAACACTGGACTTCTCCCCACATGGACATCTGGGCTATACTGTTGCAATTTCACCTCCCTCATTTAGAAATACACTCAGAAATGATTCATCTCCAACCTTTTCTCCTAGCTCATGGCCTTGTTGAGCTCTCAGGGTAGGAGAGGTAGACACAGTGGGGAAGCATTAAGCCCCTGGGGGTCCACGTGCTTGGCTAAGGGGCCAGGCTGCCCACACATTGCAGACACTCGGCAGCCAGCCTCAGGAGGCTGCTTGCCTGATTGTGATGCTCCCTTAAGGAGAGGTGACAAAGAGGATTGCCGTTGTCTTCCTTCCCTGTATTCTATACCTGGTAAACCATCGGCCTGTGTCTTATAGGAAAACAGTCGGTTACAGAAGGAGATTTTTGAAGTTGTGGAGAAACACTCGGAATCAGAAAAGCTGGTCCTGAAACTGCAGAATGACCTTGAGTTTGTGCTGAAGGACAAGGCAAGTGCTTCTGCTCATTCCAAGCCTCTTTTCTGCTAGAGCTGTGGCCAGGAGGGTGGGCTGTCTTAAAAAAGAATACATGGGTGTATTTTCTATAAAATTCTAGAATGGAGAGAAAATCAACACAATGACTTTCCCTGTTTTTCCCTTTCGGGACAAGCCACTATGACCCAGAACTGCCCAGCACAGTGTGACCTCTGTAGTGATAAGGCTGGGACCCACTAGTGCCACCTGTTTCTAGGGTCAGGGAGCCGAGGAAGAGCTTCGAGCTCGGCGCCCACAGGTGTGAGCCTCCACTGACCCACCCTGGGGGCAGGGGCAGGGCAGGAGGGCAGCACAGGCTCCAGGACCTGGATACATCTGGAAAATAACCCTGCCCCCAAGACCTTTTAAACAAGGCTGGGGTGGGAGGGCTAAATGGCTGTCCCTGGAGATACTAGAGGGGGGCAGTTAAGGTCTCATGGGGAAGGTGAGGAGGTGGCCTGCCACGGGCCACCTGGCCTGAGAGGCCCTGTCTCAGCATCTCTGCCACTGTCACTTTCTCTCCGGGTCTGACTTCAGCTGGAGCCACAGAGCACTGAGCTCCTCTCTCAGGAAGAACGGTTCACGGAAATCCTGAAGGACTATGAATTCAAGTGCAGGGTACGTGCGTGGAGAAGCTGGCGGGGCGGTCTTCCATCACCCCCAGCCCTGCCCTCCACTTTGGCCATCATGAGCAGTCATGTATGGATATTGTGTTGAGTCAGGTGTGCCAGCGTTTTTGTCACAAGCCTTCACCCCAGCCCCTGCCCTGCCCTGCCCTGCCACTGCCAGCCTATTCTCCAGTGGGGCAGAGCTGGTGCTTGTGGGAAGCTTTAGGTTTTCTCTAAGAGGGTGATCCTCTGGCTACACCACCAGGTCCCCAGGCCTCCTGTGCTAAAAGACTCCCTGCTACCTGTCCCCCTGTACCTGCTGAGAATGTGGTATGTACCCATCAGAATGGCCAGAGCTGAGGTGACCAGGGTCTGCCCAGCTCACACCTGGGTGGTGGTTGTGAGCAGCCTGAGGTTTGGGCGGGCTGTGCTCTTGGCCTCCCTGTGAAGGGTGGTGAACGCCAGGAGCACTTACTCGAAGCAGAGCGGGCCCAGCCTCTGCTCCCGGCCTTGTTTCTGCTGACGGGCCCCCCAAAGTTGATAATGTCCTGCAAGGACCTGCCCCCTCCCCACACACACCATGTGCCCTGGACATTGCTCTGCTGGGAGGGGCATCCCAGCGTCCCATAGAGGCCCCCTATATCGCAGCCACACAGGTGTGCCGGGGGGCAGGTCCAGGTCCCCAGACTTGACTCATGCTCTTGCTGTCCTTGGCACCTTCTGTGTTTCCAGGCACCGCACATGACGTCTTGCGTTCTGTTAGGTTTTTTAGATTTTCTATGCCAAACCTACCAGTGTATATCAATCTCAAGAGTAGCGGTGGTTGCAGTAATGTCTGTTGGGTCATGATCAGATGTCTCAACTAATTAGAACGTTCAGTAAGGACATATCTTAGAAGATGGAAGTGGCAGAGCAGGGGAAGGAGGTGAGCCACGTCCACAGTGCTGAGACATGTTTCTCATGACCCCCTTACACTCTTAAAAATGATTGAGGATCCCAAAGAGCTTTTGTTGATGTAGGCTATGTGGGTTATATTAATATTTACCATATCAAACATTAAATGGAGAATTTTTAAATATTTATGAATTAATTTAAAAATAGTAATATGCAAGTTAACATAATGGCAACTTAGAATAGATAGCATATTTTTTGAAAAATAACTATTTACAAAAGAAAGAAAAATTAGTGAGAAGTGTGCCATTTCACATTTTTGCTACTGTCTCTAATGGCTGGCTTCGTGGAAGACTGCTGGATTCTCAGCACTATTTCAGTCTGTTAGGATATCACAGGATACATACCCTTGTGAGGAAGTGAGAGAACACGGCCAGGCATAGTGGAGACTGGGACTGCCATCCTGGAAGTTGTGCAGCTCTGTGGGTCCTGAATCTTTTAATCCTTTCTCACAGAAGCTGAATCACTGATACAACAGGTCCCTTCTAGTTCTAGAACATTCGGATTCATGACTCATGAATCACTATACCAACGGCACATTTTAAAATGCACTCTTCTGGGTCCCAGTGCATCTGACATCCCCCTTGGCCCTCCCTGTTCACCAGAGCAGTCTGAGACTGGGGAATGGTGTAAAAATGCAGGGGTATTCAGAGCTGCAAGAAAAACAGTGCACTGAAGACTGCCTTGCAGATAAACAGCTTGGTGGCCTGTCTAATTTCCTGTCCCCCACCTCTACCCAGCCCCCCAGCCTATAGGATCAGCCGCTTTGAGACATTTCAGTATGCAAAAATCCAGACACTGAATACTAACAAATTGGAGATGAGTTGATTGTTAACAATACAGAAGAATGCTTTCATTTGTAAAATAATTTACCACATGATTCCTGTTAGGATTTAAGTCAGCAATAGTTAACTTACACAAAACTTACACAGAGCCTTTTTATATAAAGAGGTATATGTGTGGTTAAAATTGGGCACCATCAAACACCTCAGCTGTGGACCCATCTTCTCTCACACATCTTTTGCACAAAGAAGGTTCCAGCTGAACAAGCTGTAACAGTAGAAACTGGAAACAACCCTACGCTGAGTATCAGGGAGCATCTAGGCGTGTTACGACTGTTACTTGAATAGAATCCTGTGTAGCCTTGAAAAGAACGTGGATACACGTTTCTGACATGGAACTCCATCAGGGCACCATTGCTGATAACGTGTCCTGGGATCACAGCCATTTACAGCCATGCATAATCCACACTGGCAAAATGAGGAAAACCTCCGGGTGTCAGTAGTTACTATTCACTTATTCATTTGTCCTGACAATTTGCTCTAATAATAAATAATGATAATCATGTTTTCAAAGTTGAGTACCATAATTTGTAACTGTCTGAAATTGACTTAAGGTAATGTTACCAGGTCAGTAATAAATATATAGTTACCTTGTGTGGTGATGCAACAGACACGCTTGGTTTTAGCTCTCACAGATCACTAATTCTATTATATCGAATTCATTCCACGTGTAAGTCAGTCTGCCTGGAAGTCGTTGCTGTCAGTCACATCGTGCTGAAAATCTGTGATTACTTCTGGGCTATTATTATGTTCATTGTTAAGTAGACCATTAGTCATAACGTAACTTTACATGATTTGGCAGTTGATCAGATATTGAGGGGCATCTATCCTTGAAACTGATTATTCATTTATGGGGTGCCTCTGGCCAGAGAAACCAATGAAACAGTTACTGTTTGATTTTGAGAGTCTATTATCAATTCCCATCACACAATTTCCTTTGAATTTAAAGTAAGAATTGACTTTTGTTTCTGCTGCACGTTGCATTGACGACACCAGAGGATACAGGTGAGCGTGTGGTGGTTCTGACATGTCCAGTGAGCCACTGCTTCTTGTCCTGTCCTATCGTTCTCTCTGCCTCCAGCCCAAAATCCTGAGAGTGCCCCATCACGTTTTCCTAGACTTTGACTCTGCCTTCTGAAAATACTGTGTGCTCAGCTGTGTCACTTTGTGAACTTGACTGATCTGTGTTGGGGGGTTGGGGTAAGTAGAGGCTGTTAGGCAGATGGAACGTGCTGGGCAGTATTCTGCTAGGATTGTCCTTATGTTTGCGTTTTCTTTGTCCCTTTACTTTTGTTGAATAGACTGACAACCTGTAAATCTTTTTTGTTGTGTTAATGAAAATATACACAGCAGAACATACACTGATTCAGCAATTTCTACATGTAAAATTCAGTAACACTGATTACATTCTTCAAGTTGTGCAACCATTCTCACCCTCCTTTTCTAAATTGTTCCCCCTCGTTAACATGAATTCACTGCCCCCTAAGTTTTCTATATGATTTTTCCAGCTGCTATTGTCAATTTGATTTCACGTAGATAGTTCTTAAAAGAGCACAATGCTCAAAAGCATACATTCTTTACTAATTATAATTAAACTATCGTTTAGTTTAAAGAAGACTTCAGGGAATATTTTTGGTTTAAGGTTTAACGATTATCCCAGGGCAACCTTTTCGAGGATTAATCCAGCCTTCCATGGATCCAGAAAGTCTGGATTCCATGAGAATTTGAATTCTGTTCTACATTTTCCCCCTTTTGATCAGGATTCTTCTATAGAATCTTTGGTCAAAATGTTCAGTAATGGTAGCTGGGCACCATCCAGTTCTTCTGATCTCGTAGCAAAGGAGACAGTTGTTCATGGAGGCAGTTAGCCACACGTTCCATTTCCTCCTCCTATTCCTGACCCTCCATCTTCCTCTGTTGCTCCTGGTGAATAGAAACCAATTGTTGTGCCTTGGATTGCTGCTTGCAAGCTTTTAAGACCCTAGGCACTATGCAAAAACTAGTAGGTAGAACAGAAGCACTAAGCATGATATTAGGCCAGTTAACTGGGATGTCCCATAAAACCATGACCCTAAACCTCCAAAACAAGAAACCAAATCCCACAAAGTATTTGGTTGTACATAAGCAGCCTTAGCATCTGCTCTTTTTGTTGTTGTTGTTCTAAATATATTTATCACACAACATTTGGCAATTCAACTTTTTACAGGTGTACAACTTACTGACATCAATTTCATTAACCAGCTGTGCAGCCCTTACCCTTAATCAATGTAATTTTTCCATCATGTAAACTGAAACTCCGTTCCACATAAGCATTAACTTTCCCTTTACCCCTTACTCCCCCTGCCCCATCACTGCTAACAAACTTTGGTATCTATACATTTGTCTGTTCTTGTCTTTTTATGTAAGTGAGGTTGTACAATATTTGTCCTTTTGTGATTGATTTATTTCACACAGCGTAGTGTCCTCAAGCTTCATCATATTGTAGCATGTATGAAGACTTCATTTCTCTTACTGAGTAGTATTCCATTATATGTATGTACCACATTTTGTTTATCCTTTCATCTGTTGATGGACATTTATGTTGTTTCTGCCTTTTTGTCTATTGTGAATAGTGCTGTAATGAACACTGGTGTAGAAGCCTCTTTTTGAGTCTCTGCTTTCAGGTCTTTTGTGTATATATTTAGGAGTGAACTTGCTGGGTTATATGGTAGTTCTGTTTTTAGTTTTTTGAGGAATTGCTACACTGTTTTCCACATGGCTATATCTTTTGCATTCCCATCAGCAATGGATAAGGATTCCAATTTCCCCCACATCCTTGCCTACACTTGTTATTTTCCAGTTTTTTATCTTAGCCATCCTAGTGGGAGTGAAGTGGTGTCTCATTGTGGTTTTGATTTGCATTTCCCTAATGGCTAATGACACTGAACATCTTTTCATGTATTTAGTGACCATTTAATATTCTCTTTGGTGAAATATCTGTTCAGGTCCTTTGATCATATTTTGATTTGGCTGTTTGGCATTTTGTTGTTAAGTGTTAGAAGTATTATATATATTTTGGTTATTAGTTTCTTATCAGGCATATGTTTTCTGAAGATACTCTCTTAAGTCGGTAGCTTGTCTTTTCACTTTTTTGATAAAGTCTTTTATTGAACAGAAGTTTTAAATTTTTATCCTAAACTCCACACTTCCTAGAGCCATGAAAGTTAGATAAACCCCT